TGCCACCAGGATTGGTGTGTTGATATCGAGAATGTGATTTTGAGTTCTGTTCTGGATGCTTGGGAAATTCAGACTGTGAATTCTTCTGTGGGGAGATCATGATGCTCAGTCTAAGTATTATATATTTGGGACCTGCGGAACTGTTATTGTTATATAAAGAATAAAGAGTCATGGCAGTATATTACCTTGGCATCACTATGACCTTAAGTCAATCGAGTGTGGGAGGAAGTTAGTTTCCCACTTCATCATTATCTACAGGTCCTCTTTGCTTCGTTTCTTTATAAAAGTGGCACTCAATCACTGTGGAAATATACTCACATTTTGGTCCTTATAGTACTTCTGTGATGGCCTATATATTTGATTTGACACAAGAGTTCTCCTTCGCTTTCATCGGTAGCCTTGTGATAACACGAGATAAAGTGCTGCTAGGCAAATCTCGTTGTCATGCAGTGCAGTGGATGAATCTGGCACATACCTGATGATATGCGATCAGAAGTAGTATTCTATAGTGGTGCACCACAGATACTTGGGGGCTAAATAAGCAGGCCCTTCCTAGAACTCTCTGATGTTTCATCGACAATGGCATTAATGAGGGCTGCAGAAAACATACCAGGAATTACTTCCTTGATGGTCACAGAAATACCAATAAATGACCCAAATTTTCAGGGAATACAGCGCAGAGCTATGCCAGACATGATTGACTAGCAGTGCAATCAAAACATTTATTGACTTGGAATTTAACAACTGCATTCTATGACTTATCGAAGCAACCCCAGAACTTGAAGAGAATACAGTTCAATATGGCATAGTGAGCTGACAGCATCACCAAGTAGATGCTATGCCTCAGTAGGGCCATTTCATCTTCAATCTTTTTTCAGTGAGAACAATTGACAATAGAACCAAACATGCGTTGTTGCAAGTAAAAGAGGTCTATTGGTTTCTGCACTGTCTTTTCAGCTGGGCGTGACTAAATTTCGGTCAGACCCTTCTGGATCATCCATCCTCTCCCTGTTGAAATCAGCATGAATGAGCAGTAAAAGTAGACCGGATCGCCAAAGGCCCCATATGATATGACATGGGCATCCGTCGTCCACTGATATACTTACACTGAAACATATTTGTTCAGCAGAGAATTCTAAATAAAGACGAAAACAGTGTCTTTCTCTCTGTTCGTTGTGAACTTTACCAGCTTCAATAAACCTTCAAGCCGTACACCACCCAAGATACCACAACTACGAGTATTTGTCGAGTTTGGTATGGGCACCAATGTGGTTAGAAACTAAGAATCAGGCTTCCTGACCCTCGTGACCATACTACTGAATGGAAAGAGCATCGTTTGGACTACAATGGATTCTGTTATGATGAAGAATGTTCTGCCTTGACTCCAAATGTACTCATGAATGAGTCCAGACAGTAATGATCAGGCAGGCATTGGCCCAGAGTCAAGTCCAAGAAACAGCCAAGCTAGCATCAAGAACTTCGGAAGGGTATCCATGAACGCTGCAGAATGAAGAATGAGGCAAGACCCCGAAAATGGAGGCTGCCGTATACCATGGATATCATTAAAAAACATCTGGATGATTGAAGATGTTTTCATCATTGTATTTCTGTGTAGTGTGCACTCATGAAGCTGCTGCATCGTTCGCTGTCGAGTCTTGATGACTTTGGTGGTTGCTTGATTTGAGATTTTCGCCAAGGACAGATATTGGGCCGCACACCTGGTCAACACTGACAAACCATCTCGGGTTGCCCTTTCGACTTCTTGACATCCAGCTACTTTGGTGGACGCTTTCTGTACTGTTGAGCTTTGAAAACAAAGTTCATCACAACATGAACCAAGAGTAATGGTCTACTTCTAGTTTGCAATGTGGAAGTAATGCTGCAGAGTTCCAAGTTGGCTAGCTTGAGTCGACGGCGAGTGTTTTTTTTGTGGCATCAGGTGATTGCCAGCCTGTTTTCTTCCTCTTTAAAACCCAATAAATATTGGCTATTACTAGGGGGATTTAATTATGTTCAGAACTTTATGCTCTCTTTCTCTCAGTTTTTGTGGTAGTGCTTTGAGGGGGCCATGGCAGCTGACTTGCCATTTGTACAGGGATGTGCTCACCACGACGTCCGGGACTTGTTTGAAAGACATTTGAAGGATACGTAAAGCTATTCTATGAGCCCCAGATTAAACAGAAATAAGTCTTCTCAGCAGTGCACTCTCTCGCTATGGAAGCGACCAGAACTATGACATTAGCATGGGCACGAAGGTGGCTATCGGTTGCAGGGGAGTATTAAATGAACAGACAAAGGACACTCCATTCATCAGGTCGACATGGCTTCAAATGCTACCTTGGTAGGATCCATACCTGAAGTGATTGACAGTGACAAGCAGAAAAAGTCAATCTTTCAGCATCTGGTGCCTTTGTCATATTCTGCAGAGAGACGTCTCTTGTTCAAAATTGATGTGTCAGTCCTCATATTTGCTTCAGTCCGTCGTTTTCTCTATTCTCACAGAGGATTCTGACACCCTGGAAGCTGGGATATTTCATCAAGAATTTGGACCAAGTGAGCATAGTATGGCCTTGCAGGAGAATGTTCTTTAATCAAATCTCCATGCAGAGCAATGTGTCCAGTGCAGTGAGCCATGTGCTTCACATGGAATCTCTTCTCGGCACTGAATTTTGAATATCCGTGCAGTACTTTGCTGGAATGCATGAAGACTTGTAAGCCGACAATCTCTTTTGGCTGTTTTGGCTCTCATGAACTTGCATGGTTATTATGAGTGGAACAGTCTGGAAGTCTGCCCTGGTGGTAATCGAGGTGGGGCCACCCATCCTGCTAATGTACTTGAAGTATTAGAGTCATTTTAGTAACAGAAAGTGGTCAGGTTGAATGTACTAACCTCATTGCAGGATCTAGTGCTCAGGAAATACCACATGACGGTGGTGTTATTCATATTAGAAATAGAGTGACACACTGATATTACTGTCATCCTAGGAGCAACTGGACTGAAGTAGTGCTTCTCTTGGCATCAGTGTCATCGCATTCCCACTGTTGATCATGTCGGTAATGATGCTATTTCCTCCTTCATAAGGAAACACCAGTGTCAGAACTATTACCGCAATACCTCTAGCTTCAGTAAGATAACCATCAGGAGAAGACTCGAATCTAGCTGTACAGTCTGCACAGACTGTAGCCCAGCTGTGCCAGAAGCATCAATAACAGAGAACATAGAAGATGATGATAGACACTCACAGAAGGAGACCACCTTAGAGGTCATCACCAAATGCATAGTCATCGGCATTTTCTTTGACTTCAGTGGTCTTGGTGTTGTAAGGAGAGGTCTCCTCAATGGCAGTGATGAGGTCTTGGTCAAAGAATGCTTGGCCTGTGTGTTTTTTAGTGATTGGATGAAAGAGGAAGCAATATAGTAAGACTTACCAATGTGTTGGGTTCCTCCTATGCAAAGTGTGCCATTAGCATGGAATATGATATGGATGTCATTAGTCTACCCATAGCACTGTCCTTGAGGAGCTGTCAGTCTATGAAGGAGAGGAGTAGATAGGGAAGAGACATTCTCAGAAATACATCTTGAACTGAGCATATCCCTTGTTGTTTGTGGGCTGGATACTCCAGAGGAAGGTTGTATTATAATGATCCAAAGTCAGGATGGATGAAAAGGTAAAAAGAATTGCTAACTGACACAGTTATTCTCATCACTATGACCACCATTGCCTTCCACAACTCTTCTAGAGTAGACACCAACAGTGTTACAATTCCACAAGCCTAGATGGATACTAACGGTTATGGATTGCAAGTTGAGACATATATTAGCTCAATATCGATGTATCGGACATTCTGGGTTGGTCTTTGTTTATGGCCAGTCAGACATCATGGGTGAGACTTGCAAGGACATGATTGGGAATGGTGGTTTGAGTTTTTGTGTATAGATAGAATTAATAAATGACCAGTGTTTATCAGCAAGACAAGATAATACTAGAGTGTGCTTCAATGGATTTTTAGGTATGGTCAGGACCTATAATCTATTGAAATCGTTGTTATAGTGAGCACTTGAGCACAAGTAGAATGAATGAAGATTGTATTCAATGTGCCAGAATACAGTCATATTTAAATGAAAATGCATAGTCCATAACATAGCTAAGTATCAAGTATCATAGATATATAAGTATTGAGGGAATAATTGCTATGGAAGCAAATGGAGCTGTGCTCAAGAGTACAAGAGAGTACAACACTGGTTGGACCTAGTTATCATATCTGCATACTAATCCATCAATCCATCAAGTTTGCTTTATGCCAACATTCAGCTCAGCTTGTATTCCAACACTGTGGATTTACCCAATAAATCCACCAAATACTTCAAGGTATTTGACTTACCAAAAATACCAATGGACTGCAGCAGTGACTAGGGAGCATACAATTTTGCGGTCCATCATCAATTTTTTATATCATGCACTATTTCCATTCTGGGATGGAGTAGGGAGCACATCCCGTCCACGGTACATGACCGAATCTCGAAATATGGCCATTCTTGTGTTTTGGAATCTATGTAGGGCTCGCATTCAGTCCGCGGTACATGACCGAATCTCGAAATATGGCCATTCTTGCCATTTAGAATCTTGTAGGGCTCGCATTCAGTCTGCAGTACATGACCGAATCTCGAAATATGGCCATTCTTGTGTTTTGGAATCTATGTAGGGCTCGCATTCAGTCCACAGTACATGACCAAATCTCGAAATATGGCCATTCTTGTCATTTAGAAACAGAGTAGGGCTCGCATCTGCTCCGTGGTAAATCACCAATTTTCACATGGAGAGCAGAATACAGCCCTCATTAAGAAATCTTGGGTACAAAATAACATTCAGTATGCTACAGATTTATTTTACATTTTGGGAATCAATGTACACTAGGTATAGCAACGACTATGGTATGGTATGGAAGTCTACGTTGTCAAGATATGTGGTCGGCAAGTATGCTACAAGAATATAACAATGCTAAGTACAAAAGAACGTGGCGATTATCAAGAAGAAATCAACAGCTATGGTTGTGTCATCAAAAGAAAGTGTTCTGTGCTCCTGCGAAACATCAGAGGTAATTTGGTTCTGTAGAATGACGAAACTCATGTTACAGCATCTCATCTCCCAGCCAGTGGAGTTTGTACTGGGTAGTTGTTCTTCCAGTGTGGTCCTCCCATTGCGTTTGCCCACAGGGTGAATGGTCACCAGTACTGCTGACCGTGCAGTGGATCGCCCACACCCTAATTCCTGAACTCGCACCCCGGATCGTCCGATGAAGGTTGGACCCATGATCCAACTCCCTGATCTAAAATTAATAAGATCATGACAGATGCATATGGCACTTACAGAAGTAGCCAGTCCGTCGGCATATACCCCAACTGTGCTCTGACCTCCTGCTCTTGCACCCTTACACATTCCACCAGATCCGACTTGAACGTCACCAATTGCACGTTGCTTTGTCTCTGAGCGATGCTCCAGTTCATCCAAAGGTCGATCTTCATGGTGTGGATTTAGCATTGAGGTCAGAGATTGTGATTGGCTGGTGGGGGAGACGGAAGATGCATGGATCGTGCCAGAGGGCGGAAATAGACGTTGAGCGCAAGGGGCGGGGGAGCAAATGCGGAAGTCGAGAATCACGATCAAACGATATTAAGCGCCCGCGGCATGTTGACGTTGATGCCGCCAGCTATCAATTGATGATGAAATCGATCGATCAGATAAAAGATAATTGAGTGGCTGTGTGATATGATTGAACATTCGGCAGGGTGTATGGCACAACGGCCAAAAAGTAATTTGTGCAATCAAAGCTATAATTGCATTAAATATATGGTAGTAAAATTCAGTTTCCCCTGATGTATTGAGGCATACAATTATTTTTTTGAATACATTCCACATTGATAATCACTGAACATGTCTGAATCTTTTCCCTGAATATTTTTTCAAACAACTGCGGTAACTGCAGTCATTGCTTCATCAGGTTCCTGAAAAAGAAGAAGCTGGATAAGGAGGTACATATACCCAAGTATGGTTAATTATGCTTCTTATCAAATATGTTTCCAAACGTCTTGATATTGATCTTTGACGTTGATGCATCTAGAATCGAAGAAAAAAAAATTTAACCTCTATGAGGTAAACCCCGCCATCAGCATCAAGCTTCGTATGCCACAGTGCCATATATATAGGGCATGGGCATCGCATATATTTTATTCTTTCTTTCCCCCCATAAAAAAGTTGATTCTCACTCTGCCATTCAGCACCACTGCTCATCTTCAAAATGCCTCACATTGCACAGAAATCTCATGCTCTCTTTGCCACCATTTTTGCCTCATATCCTGACCTGTTCGATGAGGAAGCATGGCAGCAGCAATTTGGATTCCCCGGGTTTGATGCGGATCACATCTCGAATGTAAAAAATGAAGAGCTCCCTGCAGTCTGCGAGTTTCTGAAGCACGTCAGAAATCTCCCCTTGGACGAGGCTATAACTTGCATCAATACGAAGGGTGCCGATGCATTTCTCCAAGGCCATACCACATACCACCACTGGTGGTCGAAATCGCGCATGGTGTCGAAGCTCAGAATCACGCACAACCATGATATTCTCCATGCTGGTATCAACATCAAGGCAATGTATCGGGTAGCTGCGAAGAAAGGGAACGCAAAATTCGTCACGCTTATGATGTTTGGATCAAAGGAGGCAGAAATTGCAGAAAGCATGTTTGGCAGAGCATTTGAGGATAACGAGTCGGGTTGTATGCGAGAGGAGTTCCAGCAACTCATCCACTCATTGATATTGGACTACATTGAACGTCAGTGGAAGAATCACCACCAGGCAGAAACATGCAGACTTGAGGCGAAGGGGGAACTCGATGCCATGTGGAAATGTGTGTACTCTTTATATCTATTTTGTTTCCTACTAACTTTGTCAGTGTTTGAATCTGGCAATGGCCAAATCAACCTGAAAGATGCAAAGAAGATCTTGAATGCTCTCGAGAAATATGAAAAGTACATTGGTTGGGAGGCAATGGAGCAGGATAAGGCTGCATTGGCAGAATATGAGCAGAGGAAGGGTGAGTTTGAACAGGCACTTTCGAAGGCAGAAGCTCAGGAGGAGGAGTTGAAGAAAAACAAAAAGAGTTCGCAGTGTAAGTCCCTCATTTTATGCAGTGCTCTGCATATCTGACATATGTTGCAGACATCCTTGGACGTATGATGAATCGAAGAATCACTGTTATGGCCACTGAAGAGGAAATAGCAGCGCTCCATGAGGACCTTGCTTCTCAGCTCGAGAGCATTGAAAGCACACGCAATAGGGAGGAGGCCGAACAACATGACATCGACATCAATCCGGGCCTTCCTTCGCACCCTGGTCTTATTGGGTGGGAGAAATGGAAGGAATGTGGGGACCTGGGGGTAGAGTCTTGGTCAAAAACTACTGATAAGGTGCTTGCCGAAATGCTTCGATGGGACAATAGCCATCCCGATGAATTTAACCCATTCATTAACGCTTCCCTCACTGATTACTGGGAAAACCCTGACTATGCCACCAAGATTCCTCCTGGTGGTGATGAAGACAATGAGGTGATGAACATCTTGTGGCATCAAATTGTTGGTATAACAGCAATGGTGAACATGCTATGGACGACAAAATTGGATGATGATGGTGTCCCAGGAATCCTCCTTGCCAATGAGGTGGGTCTGGGCAAGACTGCCCAAATGATGGGATTGCTGGCATTTATAATGTCATGCTATCAGGCACAGAAGCTCGGCAAGGAACTGCCCCCAGTGCTTGGTGAGTATGGCCCGAGTAGGGAGCCCCCTCGTTTCGTGGTCCCATACATCCAGTATTAACTATAATATTCCAGCACAATTGCCATATTTCTGTGGTCGTAAACAGATTCCTGATGTGCCGCATCTCATTTTGGTCCCTGGGACCATTATAGAGCAGATCGTGGGCGAGTTGAAGCGGTGGTTCCATTCTCATGTCATCGACATTTTTGTAATGCTGACGATGGAGCAGAGATGGGACGAGTTCAACAAGGCCATTGATTCATCGAAGCAGGACAAATGCAACATTGTGATCGTTGCAAGCCATAGTGTAAGCATTGGGTTATTCACTCCGGTTTAGCTCACTGATAATGAATTTCAAATGGGTTTCAGAGTGTCAGTCAGTTAGCACATCGCAATTTGTGGATCACAAAGTCTAAGACTGAATTGGTGTCTTCTCTGCGTCCTGCTAAGACAAATTCATTGGGTTATGAGCCGATATGGTCAAGGAGTTTCTGCAGTGTCATCGTCGATGAAGCACACAACTTCCGGACACCAAATGCTGCCTACCATGGCATGAATCGAATTATGGAAAATATCTGCATGCGCCTAATTGTGTCGGCAACTCCACTGTACCAGTCACCTCATGTATGCCTTTTTTGTGGTTTTCATTCTGATTCTGATTCTTGCTTCTTTCTCATTATAATATCAGGACCTATGCAACCTCGCAAGACTTATTCATTTGAAGGCATTCATAGGTAAGGCAGCTGAATCGCTCGAGAAGGAGAAAGTCAGAGAGCTGTCAAAGATGCGGAGGGATGTCACCAAGGGCAACAATGGCGATGACGATGCTCTCACTGTGTTCAACACGAATGCCTTGAAGGGCATTGATGGTAGAAATCCATACAAAGGGGTGTACGATGCTAACAATGACTGGGTCATTGACATTCAGGCTCGCTATGAAGGACGTATCATTCAACGGGCAGTAACATCAATCAAGTACACTGACCCCCCAGCTGACAAGCCTATCATGCTGTTGAATGAACTCCCACCATACAAAAAGATTGAAGTGATGGTAAGCATGGCAGATGCTGAGAAACGGGAGATGGACAACCAGATGTCAAAGTGGAGCAGTGAGTGAGTACAGAAAAAAATTGTACCAGGATCATGGATCTGATGCACTCTTCTTCTAGTTCAAAGGCACATGGAGCTGTTGATGTCATGGATGCCAGGGTAAGTTATTGTGTGATCGCAGGGAGCCCTTCTGCTTCACAGTACATTACAATTTTGCCATTTTGCTCATTTTTCTCTTAGGCATTTTTGCTCAATTACCGGCTTGCTGTAGCATATCTGCAATCTCAACACGATCCTGACTATCTGTCAAAATCTGGCAAGAAAAAGTTTCCACCATTCGAAAGTCTTGAAGAGTGGGAAAAGTATCCAGGAGCAAAGCTCAAGGCGACGTTGAGATTGTGCAAGCACTATTTGTCTGATGACAATGCGTCTCCACCATATATTGAAGATGGTCACCTCATTTTCCCTGATCCTCCTGCAATGGCAACCGGCGATAAGAAGAAGAGGACTCAGCAGATAAAGATCCTTATCTTTCATGAGTTCCCTATGATGGATGAACTCATCATGTCGGTATGTAATTTGAATCTTTCTTCTTATTATTTGCATACTCATTTTGTTCAGGCCTTCATTATGAATGGCATTAAAATCTTGTCACTGAATGGCTCCATGAGGCTCACGGCATGTCAACAGGTGGTTGAGAAATTCCTTCATCCTGATTCAGATGTTCGTGTGCTTCTCCTCAGCCAGGTAGGTAGCTCTGGGCTTAACCTGATGAGAGCTTCTGTCGTCATCCTCTTCGTAAGTTTCAGCATCATTGCTAGTTGACATTCACTGACTGAGATCCCACAGGATATTGGTTGGACTGCCATCCAAGAAGAACAGATGATTGGTCATGCCCATCGTCATGGGCAAAAGGAAACTGTTTACGTCTTTCGCCTTATCACGACAGACACTATTGACGTCTTGATGGCTCAACACTCTGGTTCAAAAGCCCAGCAGCTTCAGCATTTCTTCAAGAAGCCTGATTTTAATGTCTGTCGAAACAGGAGTAAGTCCCTTTTACTTTTGGATAATGATGGTTTATTCATATTTTTGCAGAGGCATTCCGGCTGCTGTACAATTGTGATGTACCAGCAGATGCTCCTGCTGCAGCTGATGGAGAAAGCGATAACGACGATGACCAGAGCACCCAGGAAAGTGCCGTTGAACAGCCTCCTGCAAAAAAATGCAAGACGAATGGCAAGAAAACGGCGAAAACAAAGGAAGTAGATGTCATCGATGAATCCCGCCATCATCGTAAAGTGCCAAAGAAGGTGCCAGAGGATGGAAACAGGGAGGGAGCTCCTGCCACCAAGGTACAGATGACGATGCAGAGAGGATCCATAGATGAGGCTGGACCATTGAATACCCAGTCAAAGCCCAAGCCCAAGCCCAAGCCCAAGCCTATCACAAAGCCAGCACCGAGTGCACCACAGAATCCCATCGAGGAGGGTAATGCACAACCCACTCAATGTGAATCTCAGCCCTCGGCCCCCTCTGCTCCATCATCCCCTCTTCCTCATCCTGTTGTCCCTTCCTCCACCCCTGTAGTTATACCACCACCAGGGCATGGAATGACTGCCATCACTGCCCCCTCCAGCAATATTATCTTGACACCAGATGCTAATGAACCAATTAGCAATGACGAGATAGAAAGCTATGGGGGCACTGCTAGTGGCAGTGCTTCACAACCTCTCGATGATCTTCTTGACTTCGATGACCTAACTCCTCTGTCTTCCAATGCCCCCTCGTCTCTGTCAACACCAACCCCATTGCCTGGCAGGAAGAAGTCCATTTCAACTGCACCAACAGGTAAGTTGAATACTCAGTCAGGAATTCCAGAGTCATCGCAGAGAAGAGGAACGAGAGGAATGTCAAGGACACGATCTCAAGCAGCCAGGTCAAAGGATACTGCTAATGCAGCTCCACAGACTCTGCAGGCGAATTTCGTGATTGAACGGAATGGATCATTCAGGCCTAATATGCAAGAACCAGCATGGAGGCGTTGAGGTCATTTGTGGGTGGCTTTCTTGACATTGCTTCATTGGCAGTTCAATGCATTTTTTCAAGAACAATTTTATATAGTTTCATATTGCAGTTAGTATGACACATTTTTGTAATGTATACATTTCATGTCACTAAATATACAAGTGACAATTGGTGAAAATATCCTGGAACTGAAAAGGATGGGTCCCCTGCACTTTGCGGTCCCATACAATTTTTTTTGCATTACCAAGAATTTGACATGACAAGAAATTGTGCTGTCAATGTCATGTCCAGCTGAATGTCTTTGGAAAAATAGAGAAATTTTTCATGTGGCGCTCTGCTTTGTTAGTATAAAGTAGATGCAAACAGTGATATCACCCACCTACTTTTCCCCTTTAGCATGAACTCTGACCAGGATGATGACAGTTTCTTTCGGGGATCAGGACATACAAGTAGCTTGTTCACCGACAATGAAGACTAGGAAGAAGCAGGAGGAGCAGAAGAAGCAGGAGCAGAAGAAGAAGAAGAAGAGGATGAGTACAATGATGAGGATCAACATTGTGATGGTATGCATATCACTGGAAAGTAGCCATTGGTCTAATCAGGCATCTAGTATCCTGGACACCTCCTTCTGTTGGTGCCATTAGACACCGGATATCTCGTCAAAGCAGGTGCCCCAAGTCCACCCATATTCACGATCATCGTCGATGACATCATCGACATCTAGAACAGAGGGATGAAGAGGATGATGCTCATGGGTCATCCCATCGAAGCACCCCGGGGCCATCCTCTAGTGACGAGGATGATGGACCTCTGCACCATCGACAAGGAGAAATCAGACATGGAGAATGGGATCCAGATGATGATGTTGATGGGAATAGCATTCGCATTCAGGGTGTCCACACATCAAGAGATGTCACATTGGGGGAGTTCGTTCAAGAATGTAGTCAACTATGGATGGATCAGAATGTTTCAACAAGGAGCATCGCATGTCGTGGAAAGTATCTCCGCTATGTATTGTGTGGGGAATATGGCGAGGATCATTACATCAATCTCACCATGGCTGGAGCTGACCTGCCAGAACCAAAAGTGACATTGATGAGGGACTATGACTCGGTCATTGCAATCTGTGATTGTATTCCAGATCTGGGAATGCTGATTGAGTTTGCTACTACATATCAGCTGACGATGTCAATGCAAGGTGGTATTAATATCCAAGCACCCTTCAAAATTGTCAATCCACAGAATGGCGAGGTAGCATTTATCATCTAAATGTCAAAGTCTATGCTAAAGCTGATCATATGTAGCTCACAACAAATCCTATGGATCCAGGATGTCTTCCAAATGTCTTCCTTGCCAAAGTCACCCATCATGCATCATTATATATCCTGCTGCTGAATTTGGTTCGAAATCTCAAACAGCATGAGGGAACCCCTTCAGTTTCTATCCAGGAGTATGCTGTGCTCTATGAAATATTCATCCAATCAGCAGTACGTTATCAGGATATGACAGCGGCTCATCTTCCTGCTACCTACAGTTCAAAATTGTTTCAGGCAGGAAGTGGGCAGAGTCATCAGATGAGAAAGCTAACAGAGTTGATCCCTAGTGAATATGTGGAGCGATTGCTAGGAGATTTCAGTGAACGACTGGAGCACCATTCAGATGGATGGGGGATCGGGCACCGTTTTTTGCTTCAGTGGCGAGGGATCAACGCATTGACAGTGCATGACCCAAACAATGCAACCGAGCGAGAATACTTCCTGCACCAGGACCATGTATTCAATGCTGACATGTTCAGTACTCCTGGTGATGATGTCTTTGTTGATGTTGCACTTGAACTGTCTGTGAAGGAGGGAGCAGTTATGTGGCGCTCTGACAGCCATGCAGTCATGCTACAGAGACTACTGCAAATGCATCAGACCAAAGCTGACAAGTGGATGCATTTCGGTTACTACAATTACAAACAGGATACATATGCACATCTCACCTCTGTCGCAGGATGTCACATCACAACACATACCACACTGCTCGGACAATTCAATGCAACCTTTGTCCAGATGTACACAACCGATAAATGCCTTACCTATGACATGCAGGCAAGCAATAATGCCAAGTTCGTTACAGCAGTTAATCTGATGAAGAAGTCAAAGTACACGTACAATGAGTTTCTTGGGAAATTGTACAGTGTCTTCGCAGATGCAGCATGGCATAATGATGTACATGCATGGATTGAGGCATGAGTCCCACTGGCTAATGCGGAAGATGTGTTTGCAGATGTTCCAGTTGTGAGTTTCTTGGATCTGGTGTATTGTGTTCCATGACAAGACTGGTGGTGAGCCCATTTCTAGAAGCTATGTAATGATGAGGATCAGGGCTAATAGTATCCACAGGCAATTTAAATCTGCCAGAGCTCTCAGATTTGTGACATTGATCCAGTGGCAGAATGAAGAGCACAACATGGACATGCGACACTGTTACTATCCAGTCATCCTGACATGTCTCGTCACATTTATGGTCAATTCACTTCATGCACAGCCAGAAGAGCGATCAGGACACAAGATGTTGATGCATGCCATCTGGCCATGAACATACTGGCAGGAAGATCATCACATGATCCTTCCATGCATGCGAAAGAGAGACAGGACGGATGAGCCAGGACCATATGCAGAGGGAGGACTCTGGTGGATTCTGAGCAGTGTGATTGCATGGCCAACACGGAATGGAGGTGGTACAAGAATACCATGATGCGAGAGTGTCATCCAAGTGCCCAGTGAGGCAGGCTGGAATTTGTTGGGCATTAGAAAGATGCTGAATGAGTTCTGTTCTAAAGATAGTTGCATGAAGCAGCGACAGTTGGTGGAATGGAAGCCAATGGGCCAGGTCATAGGGTGCACAAGGAAAGCCAAGGGTCGACCTGAGGAGCCAATGCCGAAGACAGAAAGGCTAGCTCGACGGATAGAAATGCCAGAAAAATCATATGACTATGGGCCCAATCTGCCACCAGAGGACCAGATATATGATGAACAATATCTGGAGCATGCCGGGACATTTCTAAATCAAGTACTACAGCAATATGTGTCTGACATGCTGCAGAAGGTTGGATGGGCGAAATGTGGATGGGAACATTCTCCTCTGACACAGAATGAACGGTGGATGGTCGACATCCATATCATGAAAGAAAATGATCTTGGAGGAGTGTTGACACATGCATGAATGCATGAAGGAACAGAAAGCCAGTGGGATTCACTGTTTGACAACATCTTCCGGACTCCGAATGAACTGAATGCAAGGAAACGATGGTCTGCATGGAGTAACTGGAGAAAGATGAAATCAATAAAGATGTGGGAAGGATTTGTGCATGATATGTCTTCTTCACGACAAGTAGAAGATATGCAAAGGGCACTGAAGAGGGCATTTGATGAATTCCTGTGGTGTGTTTGGTCTGATAGCACACAGGTGTGTGTTTATGAGAAGTCAGGAGGGGAACTGATTAAACCGGAATGAGTTCGAAAAGAGGATCTACCATGTTCAGCAGTCCGCCTCATCCGGAATCCATGGATAGAGAACTGGAGATTTGATATTACGAGTGGCCACATGCCAGCATTGTGGAATATTGAAGAATGGGGGGAGAGGGAGGATGAAGAGGAAATCATGGCGATAATTGAGAGGGAAGAAAGAGAGAAGCAAAAAGAGATGGACATGCAGGAAAGAGAAGATCGCATTCTCCAAGAGCGCAGAGAAGAAGAGGAATCGTCGGAGGATGAAGTGGAGCCGGACATCAGAAGGCAAATAACAGATGAAAGGAAACCAATCACTATGGAAGGGAACCGAGGGATGCTACTGGGGGAGCCCATTGTGTCACCCAGTCAGCATCGAAGTTGACAAATGGAGAAGGGGAGCAAAAAAAGATGTTAGAATACAATGTCAATGAAACAATTAGTCACATATTCTGACCATTTCAAAGTATATTGACAAAAGATGTGATATCAAATTGAACAAATTGTTATGGTGCTATTTTCACTCTGACAGATGAAAAGCAGCCTGCAAAGAAAATCGGTCATGTACCGTGGACTGCATGCGCTCCATACACAGATTCTAAAACACCAGAATGGACATATTTCAAGAATTGGTCATGTACTGTGGACTGGATACGAGCCCTACGCAGTTTCATATGGGTATATGCACCTCCTTATCCAGCTTCTTCTTTTTCAGGAACCCGATGAAGCAATGACTGCAGTTACCGCAGTTGTTTGAAAAAATATTTAGGGAAAAGATTTAGACATGTTCAGTGATTATCAATGTGGAATGTATTCAAAAAAATAATTGTATGCTGCAATACATCGTCAGTGGAAGCTGAATTTTGCCACCATATATTTAATGCAATTATAGCTTTGATTGCACAAATTGCTTTTTGGCCATTGTGCCATACACTCTGCCGAATGTTCAATTGTATCACACAGCCACTCAATTATCTTTTATCTGATCGATCGATTTCATCATCAATTGATAGCCGGCAGCATCAACGTCAACATGCTGCAGGTGCTTAATATCGTTTGATCGTGATTCTCTACTTCTGCATTCACTCCCACGCCCCTCGTGCTCAACATCTATTCCTGCTCTCTGGCACAATCCATGCCTCTTCTGTCTGCCTCGCCAGCCGATCACAATCTCCGACCTCGATGCTAAATCCTCACCATGAAGATCGACCTTTGGATGAACTGGAGCATCGCTCGGAGACAAAGCAATGCACAATTGGCGACATTCAAGTCAGATCTGGTGGAATGTGTAAGGGTGCAAGAGCAGGAGGTCAGAGCACAGTTGGGGTATATGCTGACGGACTGGCTACTTCTGTAAGTGCTGTATGCACCTGTCATGATCTTATTAATTTTAGATCAGGGAGTTGGATCATGGGTCCAACCTTCATCGGACGATCTGGGGATCGAATTCAGGAATCAGGGTCTGGGCAATCCATTGCATGGTCAGCAGTACTGGTGACCATTCGCCCTGTGGGCAAACGCAATGGGAGGACCACACTGGAAGACTGACTAGCCAATATAAACTCCAGTGGCTGGGGGATGAGATGCTGTAATGTGAGTTTCGTCATTCTACAGAACAAAATGACCTCTGATGTTTTGCAGGAGCACAGAACACTTTCTTTTGATGACACAACCATAGCCGTTGATTTCTTGATAATCACCATGTTCTTTTGTACTTAGCATTGTTATATTCCTGTAGCATACTTGCTGACCATATATCTTGACAATGTAGACTTCCATACTATACCATAGTCATTGCTATACCTAGTGTACATTTATTGCCAAAATGTAAAATAAATCTGTAGCATACTGAATGTTATTTCTACCCAAGATTTATTAATGAGGGCCGTATTCCCTTCAACATGTGAAAATTGGTGATTTACTGTGGAGTAGATGCACTCACTACAAGATTCTACATGACAAGAATGGGCATAATTGGAGAATCGGTCATGTACCACAGACTGGATACGAGGCCTACATAGATTCTAAACATCAAGAATGGACATATTTCGAGATTCGGTCATGTACCGTGAAACAAATATGCTTCCTATGCCCATGTCATGTGCAAATGGCTATAGACTTGATGTACCATGAAACAGACATGCCCCCTATGAAAGTGCATGGACCATGCACAAGAGGGACCGCTGTGTGTTCACGGTACCGGCCTGTCCATGGTCTGTCCACAGAGCGAGGCATCCATCATATTTCGTGGTCCCACCACTGCTGTTCTGTGTACCGCCGTTGCTTTAAACCCTAACTTAGGGTTGCTTCTGAGGTTCTTCTGAGCAATTCATGTACCGCCTATCTATAAGCCCAATGAGTGCTGTCATCAATGAAAGAGATGAAGTAATGGTGTTTATGCAGGGATTCTACAGGTGCAGGTCCCCATAAATCAGAGTGAATTTCACCTCCAATATTGGTTGCATGTTCTCCCCCTCGAGCCTTAGACACTGGCTTTCGTGTAGCTTTAGCATAGACACATGACTCGCAGAACCGTGGTTCTTCAGATGACTTGTCGAGCTTTACTCCAGTCACAAAGCCTTTTTCAACCAGACAGCGAGCAACTTCAGGTGAAATGTGGCCCATGCAGCAGTGCAATTGGTCTAGAGTAAGCACCTCCTCAGCTGTCCCAGCCAAATCTCTCTCATGACAAATCCGATATAGGCCACCATCATCTTTTGGGACAACCCCAATGACCTTTCTATCTGGTGCACAGATGGTGCATTTTCTGCCACTGAAAGTCAACTCGAAACCAAGATCGTCAAGTCGGCCAACTGAAATGAGTGTATAGCCAACTTCGGGAGAGTACATGACCTCGGTGAGTTGTAGATTGCTCACATTTGCACCATTTGGCACATCAATGCTCATCATGCCCTTTCCAGCTGCAGAAAATTTTTGAGTGTTCACAGCACGGAATGCCTTGGGTGGGACAGACTGGAATGAGTTGAAATCGTCATGGTAAGGGGAAATATGGCATGTACAGCTGGAGTCATAGAGTTCAGTATGAATTTGAACATCAGATGAGTTTACAGTGTTGGTAACAGCTGCGACTGACTCTTCGGAAGCAGATACATCCTCCAAGGTCGGCATGCCAGATGTGGCATCTGATTGCTTGTCAACAAAGGAGTTCACATCACTCCAGTCAACATCTGAGGACAACGTACTGTTCAGCTCATCCCATGACTCATCACCAACCTCCGAAAAAAGGTCGGTACCATCATCTTCATCCCCCGAGTCCTCTGATAAGCCCTCAACTTCAGACTCATCTGACTCAGAAACTGCAGCCAGTGATGGCATGTTGCTAGCATCATCAACTCTGAATGCACTGCTGGCTTCCCAGTCCAAATCCGATGATTCCTCAGCCACATTGGCTATTTCACCCTTCGATCCAGAGGCCTTGCTGTCATTGTCTGATGACTTCTTCTCGAGGCATTTGTTTTTGAAGTGTCCTTCTTTCCCACATCCCCAGCACAATTTCTTGCTGGGTTTCTTGCCCTTCTTATTGCCGCCTGAGCTTGATGAAACAGACATGGCTTCATCTTGCTCTGAGTCCTTTCCCTTTCCAGACTGCTGACTACACTTGGCTCGCTCGTGCTCCAGTCAGTCGTATTCCTCGGAAATGGCATGGATCAGGTTCTCAGGATCGACTTTCTTGTTGGAACTAAAAAGCTTTGCTGCCATAAGGAGAGTCGATGCATGCTTGGCAAGATAGGGAGGGATAGAGGTGAGAATCGTTGAGCGGTAATCCTTCTCCTCGATGATGACACTGATGGAAGCTAATGACTCCTGTTTCATTGACAGACTGTCAAGAAACTCGTGAACATTGCCTTTGGCTGGGCAATGCGACTCCATAAACTGCTGCCAAAGGTCGGTTTGTGCATAGCCGCTCTTATCGGTAAACTCTTTTTCAATCTTTGACCAGGCTACAGCAACTGTGGGAAGACGCTGAATCTTCATAGCAACTGAGTCAGGGATCTTCGAGAGCAGGAGGTTCTTGGCTACAGCCTCATCTTTCTCCCATTCATCTAGCTCAGCCATGAGAGCTGTTGTGGGTGCAGTGAGAGAGGGTTTGGGCTTGGATCCATCGAAGTGATCCTATTTCCCTTTGGCTTGAACACCAGTGGAAAAGCAGAGGTAGAAGATGGACCAGTTGTCACCAGACGTGTTCAGTGTGGGGATGTTCGATGGTAGGCCTGTAGTCAAGGCAGCAATGGCAGAAGTCATTTGAGTATGAAGGATGGGATAGAGTAATTCTCAGGGTCATATAACCTCTAAGAAAGTGATGTGTGTTTGTAGCACCTAATAGAGTATGCTGTTAGCTATAACGTAGACCTCACACAGTGTAGTGATAAGCAGAAACATGGTGTTGTATTCACTGTACCTAATAGAGTATGCTGTTAGCTATAACGTAGACTACAGAATACCAATCAGTGACATAAACAAAGTAATATAAGTAGATACTCACCCTCACACAGCATAGTGATAAGCAGAAACATGGTGAGGGTGCTCGACAGACCATATTCAATATATATAGTCCATCCCGACATAAAGGGGTATCGAGCTTGGCCGGCAGGATACAACGGAGCTCCTGCTTGCTAATCCAACAAGTTCAAATGCAGGAAATATCATTGGGCCACTGATTTGCTTCCGGTCCCTGCTTTCATGATTTGGACTCAGGTGTCTGAAGCAGACTCTCACGAAAAAAATAATGTGCGAAGAACCTTAGCAATGGTCATGTCGACTTAAAAGAATATTGGTAGCTTCTCTCTGCTATTGACATGTCAAATTCCAGAGTTTGAATGAATTCTTTATGCATTATGTATCTTCTGATATGCACTCAGTGTTCTCGGATTCAAATTGAAGATGAGAAGAAGCCGATGACATAGGGGAAAAGGACTACGAGGCTTTGCAGAAGAACCTTCGAAATTCACAAACATGTGTACAATCGATGTTTTTTGTATGAGTTCCGCAGGCATTCTCCATCCCTGTGCAGAAACCCAGATGCCTTCTTGAGTATTTAATTTCCTCTGCATACCCTTCTCTAACGGAACTAGTCTTCAATCCCGGTGAACAGAAACTCTGGCGGTGCCTGCATGAGAGGTCTTCATGTTTTGGTCATTTTTCAGAGCATTAGTTGAAATTATACTTGTCAAGTAACTGATACAACCGTCAAGAATGAATGCCTATGAAGACAACTGCTACCTTGGTCCCACTTGGTGTAACGTCCATGAAGGGGAATTCGGCAGCAGAGATCCATAGTGGGCATCCATGTCAAAGTCCCTCCGCTCCAACTTGAGAACGATGCTGCAACTTTTCATCAGTGTGATGGGATGTTTCTGGACCGTGTTGCCACGATGCATGGCAATCCTTGCATGCAACAAAAATCGTAGGGTATTGATAACTCTTGTTTAAGCTTCCTCTGCTAAAACTGGTGAAACCAAGCTAGAGTCTGACATCGCACGTACGCTTTACTTCCTTCAAGCCCTAGCCTGGACCTACTTTGAAAATTGGGTTCGGTATTTGCATTACTCAAGTGGTGTCGGTTTCTCAGTGACTACCTACGACATCCTGATAGTTTTTTTTCTTCATGTGGCGTAACGTAGCTTCCTTTATTATGTTCACCATTTGCGGAATGTCATGCGGATCCTAGGTCTTTGTCAACATGTCTTCGACTTTTTTTTGTCTGGGTTCTCTTTTAGACCATGGCCTTGGTTTCCTTCCCCTGGTCCCTGATCCAATAACAGCCTAGCCTATTTGAATCTCGTTCCTCCGACAGTGTTCTTCCAGCTGACTGTGAATTCACACATGTAGTGCAGAAATTCAGGTCCGGACTCCCGAAACGGGGTTAAAGGGAATCGGAAAGGAACATGCGTGGTGAGAGAAAATGAAAATAGTCTACAATTACACGATCAGCGGCATCAGGGCAGGGTCTCCCACAGTCTAAATGGACCCCACGATTAGATGAGCACCGTTTCATTATACATAGAAAACTCCGCGCTTCCCTCAAACCGGCGACTGGAATTTACACTCTGCGAACGTTTTTAAGTCGAGAGAGATCTCGGTGGATCTTTGAATTGTACAGAAAGCGCCTGTAGGGTGGGCCCTTGCGAAAGGATAAGGAATTAAATGAAGTAAATATAGGGCGTTTCTCGCTGTCATGAGGAATTGGCCTAGGTCATGGTTAGTATATGGATAGTGACCTATGAACATTACTCCCTCCCGGTGGGGAAAATTGAATGCCCGAAGGCGACTATCACATTCACCTTAGAAGGTTCGGAGTAAGAGTGTCGTTGGATCTGCGAATAAAGCCGGCATTCGGGAGAAAGATACACCTACTGCCACCTACAGTTCGGGAGAGAGGGCGATCTAGACTGACAAGCATCTGTGGCTTTGAGTTATTCCGATAAAATGAATACGCCGTAATACGTACTGAGGAGTAACGAGCTGATGACGAGAGCCTGAAACTTGGACAAGGTCGGAAACATTGGTGAATCAGCAGTGTTGGTCCAGAACAAATGTTCGATCACTCCAGAGTCCATTAAATAAATGGGGACGAAAACGTTGCTAGTAAGAGTAATATTTCTGATTTAGCGAAGGATATGCCTGCTAGTACTTGAATATTGTATCAAGGTCGAAGGCAGGAAACTGTCAGCTTATTAACGGATTTTTTGTTCAGCCGCGGATTCTTGGCACGATTTCATGGCTCCTCGCCGAGCCAACCCCTCATCTGAGGCAGACAGAGCTCGAATGATTTCCATGGTAATAACGAATGTCAGCGAGGTTTCTGTCAATGCAGGTGGAGGTGAACAGTTCCTGACGGACATATGTTTTGTGTCACCGTCAGGAATGAATGATTTCGAGGAGACGGCAGAAGGTCGATGATATCCATGGTCGTAGATTCGAAGGTTTGCAGCCTGAGGTTTTTCAGTGTAACAAATAGATGAAGATGAAGCTTGGAAATTACCTTTGGAAGTCGCGAACCTGAACAGCCTAGTAGAATTAGGCGTATTCAGTGTGAATGCAAGTAAAAAGGACTCACCCTTCCATCAGCTTAGCGATTTTCTCATCCTGTCATCTCATCTCCTGATGTTCGCCTCATCGAGAAAGGGATGGTCCCAGCCAGAGTAAGCCCGCCAGGAATATAGAATGTAGCAGGACCTTTACATCGTTCACCGTAGCGTTCCCAATAACCTTGTGATTATCTTCTTGGTCGCTCTTCCGCCGCTGACAATCACAGTTAACGCAACTCTTAGTATCGCCATTTGACATCGCTTCTGGCGGGTAGGACGCGCTGTGGACGAAAAGTTCAACCTTGAAAAAATCGACCGCGAAATCCAAAACGAAATAGATGCGTCTGCACGCGCTGCTTTTCTTGGACCTGGTTGTTTGATAGTATCTTGCCCGGGGATCCAAGGAGCATTTCGGGCTTGTTATTGGGTCTCTGAAGAACGCACAAATACTGACAGAAATTGTAGATGGTAAGAAGAGAGAGAGAAGAAACGATGACCGGGGATGACAGCTGTGGCTGCGCGAGGAACATCGTGGGCTCCATATGATAAAACAAACAAAAGATTGGTAGTATAGACGTACTTTCCTTTACTTCGGTCCGGTGACGGTCAGATCTGAAGTACGATCGCCACGTGGCTGACATGCCGGCGGCATATCGTGTGACGGGCATAGTTTTTGATGCAGTCACGGTAAAGCAGTGCACTCGGGTGTTGGTCATTGACGACGATGACGACGAGCAGCAATGACACTCTCCGCCCTTCGACGAACAATCGGCTGCCATCGCTGAACCAGCTCGCTGCTCGCATTAACATAAACGTTCCTCCGAGCCAATCGCTCAGTTCATCGTCATCGACATCTGCGCTACGACCTCGCCTCGTTGCATCCGCGCTGCGGACAGGCTCGACGACATCAGTTGCATCCTCAGTAACGACGGCGGACTCCGTGGCCGTGAATGCACCTACGACAAGATCAGCCTCGCCATCGACCCCTCCAGTCGAAGATGTGGAAGTATCTGTTGTTAGTGGCGGGGAAGCGCTAACTGCGGAAAAGCTGGAGAAACACAATCAGCTGGAAAGTGAGAAGAAAAACGTCAAGGTTGGATACAAGAATATTCCCAGTCTGGATGCGATTACTGCTAGGCTCGCCAAGACCCGTGCGTTGAGCATCGATGGGTCCGTTAGGCCACCGGAAGCGGAGTTGATTGACGATCCGAAGACGCCAGGTGTGCCGATGAAGGTGCCGGAGCATCCCTTGCAGTATCTTTGGTACGTCTCTTCTTCTTCTCCCGTCTTTTCGTAACAAACAGACCCGTTTTAGGACGATATATCACGACACAAAAGCCAAATTCCCCTACACCCCTGCCCCGAACTCGCAGCCCTCGACTGCCACAGACAATGTTTTTACTCACTCGACCGAATCCAACGACTATGAAGCTGGTCTGACTGTCATCGGAGACTTCAACACCGTCGAAGACTTTTGTCGGTATTTCAATTGGCTCAAACCGCCCTCGAAGCTCGAGCGCAATTCGAACTACCATCTCTTCAAGTCGGGTATCAAGCCCATGTGGGAGGACGAGGCCAATGCGAACGGGGGAAAGTGGGTGTTGACGATGAAGAACAACCCTGGGTTGCTGGACCGATGCTGGAACTGGCTCGCCATGGCTTTGGTGGGTGAGGAGCTCGAGGAGGGTGACGAGATCTGCGGTGCAGTCGTCAGTCTCAGGAGCAAGGTCGATAGGATTCAAGTCTGGACGAGGAGCAAGGACGATGTGGAGAAGCTTAATGGGATTGGGAGGAAGCTCATCAAGCTGCTGGACGTTTCGGACGCCGATGGGATTGGGTTGGAGTTTCAGTATAATACGGATGATAGGCCGCAGCCGAACAAGTTTTTGTCCATCCAGGCGATGCCTCAGACGGGCTATCGCAAGTCGGAAGCCCAGTCGCCTATTCCGAGTCCGGGTGCTTTTGGAGGCTTTGGGGTTGGCATTGGGGGGAGTAGTGCGTGGAGGGCGTCCAAGAGGTCTTGAAATTTGTAAGATGTACGATGTAATTCATTCTTGGTTTTTGCTATTTTGATGGCCTTTCCTTGAGGAATGATGATCATGTGTTCGAATCTCTGCTTAGCGTACCATTCAGCGTTTAATAATATGCCATTTCCCTAGGTGGCTGAGATGACGCTTGTCCGTGTTTGTATGTTCTGGATACAGGCCATCGGACGTGTCTAATCATTATCCGTAGCGACCTGGCTTCGCGGCGCCACAGGCTCTCATTATGTTGATGAAAGGCAAAGATATGATTTCGGCAAGAGCTCTACAGTTCTCTACTTCTGCGCTTCTTCGTGCCTCTGTTTAATTCTCCTCCAATTGTTAGCAGTGTGTGGATAAAGTCTAACAAATTCCCTTCTGCGACTGCGCCCCGCTTTTAAAAACGACTCTGGTACCCAGTTTCCCAGCTCCCCCAGATTGCCCGCTGTCACGTAGATGTTGAGCAGTTCTGTAATGTCTCTGACGTCTGTCGGCTGCTTGGCATTCATATAATACTTTGTCGACTCCCCGTGGTCCTTCCACGCCTGGAGCTTGAGAAGCAGGAGGGGGATGAACGGCATAACGGGGAAGGTGTGGTGATTATACGAGTGTCGGCGGTGTACGATGCTGTCGGATGGGACTGGTGGGATGTTCATTATGCCTGGGAAGAGCAGATCGACTTTGCAGCTCCGCCTGTATCCTGGGAGGCGGTACCAGAGGACTTTATACGTCGCTCGGGGATCTTTAGATGCGACGAGGTAGAAACTAGAGTTTGCTGCTACTACGCGGCGCTTTAGTTCTTCTTGGGTGAGCCTGCAGCCTAGGACCACCATGTCGATATCCTGATAACGATCAAACATCAGTTATCTGATTTAGGAACCCACGTACGTTGGGGGACCGCCTCATACCGTAGCAGGAACACGCTACGCTTCCGACGAGGCAGCATTTGAAGCCGAGGGTAGAGAGTACTCTGACGGTCTCTTTCGTTGTCTCGAGGACTTCAGATAGTGTGAGGATGCGGTAGGACATGATGGTTTCTTATCAAGATGTCCGTGAAACTGAATAGGCTTTGACCGAGATGGAAGCACATCTTTAGACACGATCACGTGCCTATTTCGGACCTCAGGACTTCAGTACAGGCGACAATTTATTATTGACTAGCATTTACCAGTGGATATTTCAGAATCGGCAGTCAACTTGATTCAGCGAGGAGAATACGGGTTAGGTATCCACCGATTGGGACTAATTTCGGTTCGTTGGATTGAAAATCTGGTTATATTTTAGACTAGGTTACGACTTGTTGCTGTGGTGGTGATACACGAATCATAGGTACAAAAGAATTGGCCATGACAAAATTTGAAATTAACGACGTCGAGCCTCTTCACGTGATCGAGCTTGTGGTTTTCCCACATCGTAGATTTCTTTACTTCCTACCACCATCATCACCACTATGGCAGCGTCTTCCTTATAGCGCAAACAAAGGCGACCCCCTTACTCTCTTATCTAAGTGTCATATTGTCGAAGAAACTGGGCGCAGAGTGGATCGGTGTAAGCTCACCTGGAACGGCTGTTACTGTGTAGTTCGAAACGTTCTGTTACAACTCCGAATGGCCTCCATTACCTCTTGAAAGCCGTTTTGTGACATAAATCTCACTGTAAGACCTGACATTAACAGCGGTTGACAGCGTCTGCGGCACGGTCAGCCAAATCGGCGGCGGCGGAGAATACCCGGGTCTGTCACCTATGTAAGGACTCTGACCTCTCTTCTTCTTTCTCGTCATTCACAGGATGCTAAGGCTACCAGTACTGCTGGCGCTAACTAGGGCTCTGTTCGTCGACGGCAACCATCACTTCCAGATCCAGGGGTCTCATTTTGATGTGGGTTATGGACAGGCTAGGTTGCACCCAGGTCGGCTCAGTCGTTCTTGCTGCATTCATATATGATGTTACCATTCATAGATGCCCCGATGCCCGCATGCGTCTGGAACTCTTTAAACGCTACCGTTGGCGGACGTCTGCGAAACGCTACACCGTATGCAAAGTCTTGTTTCAGTGGTTCGTTCGATGAAGGGGAGTGTGCAGGGCTGATAGATGAGTACCTTGATCCTGGTAAGTTTTTTCCTCTCTCTTCTCAGCAGGGTATTGACACCGTCGTAGCCAGACGCTCCGACCACTTTGGCGCATACATCAACGTTAGTCTTTTTTTCCTTCGTTCCCCCAAAGTTTGGTTGCATCGACCTATCCGCAGGCCGAATGGGAGACGTGTCAAGCCACTGCAGAGGAATGCGCTTTGAGATGGATGGGTGCGACGGCAAGGGATGGACAGTGCAGACAAGGCGCGGTTCCTTCTTATTATGTGCGCTAGCCTCCTACCTACTTTCTATGCCTGCTAAGGAGAAAACTAGATTGATGTCAGCGACCACACGGATGTCGCAGCTGCATTCGAATTCTCGAGACGTACCGGCGTCCTGGTTGTTATCAAGAATACCGGGGTTCGTCTAGCGGATGTGTTCGTCTAGGTTTGTACTGACTGTTCCTCAGCATGATTACATGGGCCGGAGCAGTGGACCTGGGGCGCTGGGTATATGGGTATGTTCCCCAGCCTTCGTCAGTGGTCATCAAAGCCTCATTCATTCATAGACGCACCACTTGAAATCGGTTCGTCCGTTGATATGATCAGAACATCGATGCTGATACCCATGATTAGATGTCATACGACAAGACATTCGTTCCACAAGGGTGTGAAGCAACGATGAACCCGGTTCCCGCTGTAACTTTTGGGGTAGGTTGGTTATGTCGTCGAATGTGTGGACTCAATGCTGCCTATAGAGTGGAGCCCAATTTTCGGATCTGTTGGCGTTCGCGAATGAGAATAACCTCACGATACCTGGCGGGTCTGATGCTACAGTCGGTGTTGGAGGAGGGTATCTGCAGGTTCGTTCACTCCTTGCTTTGACTTGGAGCGGTAACTTTTCCTTTCCTCCAGGGTGGCGGTCACAGGTCTGGCTGAGACTCCTGGCTCCGTTGAACGTCGCTCATGTTTCCTCGTCTAGCCCGCTGTCAAACATATTCGGACTAGCAGTGGACCGCGTAGTACGTCGGGTTCTCGACTTTCTTCCCAGACACTAAAGCAGATACGTATAGCTCGAATATGAGGTTGCCGTACCCACTGGCGACTTTCTCGTTGCTAACGAGTGTCAGAACCCTGACCTGTTCTTTGCTCTACGCGGAGGAGGGGGTGGAACGTTCGGCGTGGTTATGCAAGTGACCACACGAGCGCTACCCAGAGCGGAGCTTGTCACGTACGCTGCCTTTTTTCCCGCTATACCTTGCCCTTACGAATGATGTACTAGTGTATCAGCGTCGTTCAAGCCTACGACTTCTATTGAGAGGTTTTTGGAATTCGTCATTCCTTATTCGGTCGGATGGGCGAAAGATGGTAGATCCTTTCTGAAATAACGTTTTTCCTCTCTCATCTTTTTTTGTATAGGCTGGAGTGGGTACATATATGTATGTCATTGCCTATTTACCTCTGCCGCTTACCAATTCTGTATTAGACTGCGGGGATATTCCACCTGAGTAAACTCGACACTACGGAGGTCGACGCGCTTGCATACATGGCCCCACTCAAGACATTCCTTTTGGAAGAGCTCTACATCGAACTGCAAGTGTCGACAAGTCACTCGTACGGAGATTTCCACGAGAAATATCTCCACCTTTCCTCTGTCGGCTTGGTCTGCCTTTCTCTTTCTCTCCTACCTGCTTCGCTGACCCTTTCTCACAGCCGAAATGCATCCCCGTGTTCCCAGCCTCGCGGCTCATCCCCGCAGAAACCTTTTCTGACTCACCCAAGGAACTTCTGAAAACCCTGATGCAGCTCATAAACGCCCTCCCTGCATCGTTCATCTTTGCGAATGCGCCGTATGTGTTCCCTGGAGATGGAAAGACGAGCGTGACAGGGGCGTGGAGGAGGAGTATCTGGGACGTGAGTATGCTTTTATTCATGTTGGGGCTATATCCAAGACGTTAATGATCGGTTCAGGTAACCTTTGGCCAGGTATGGGACTACTCGGCGTCCCCTGCGGAACAAGAAAAGGCGTACCGCAATCTATCAAGAAGTATGGACCCGCTGAGAGCGATCACGCCTGGAGGCGGAGCATATGGAAACGAGGCGGATGTGTATGAGCCTGATTGGGAACGCTCGTTTTGGGGTGAGAATTATGAGGAACTGGTGAGGGTGAAGAGGAAGTAGTGGGTGTCATGTCTCGTTTAATGCTCTGATCGTTTATGCTGATGATTGGTTAGTGATCCGGAGCATCTTTTAGACTGTTGGCGGTGTGGTGAGTGGGTTCGGTCTTCCTTTCCGACGAGTTCTCATGTAGCATGTTTGTTTAGTGGACTGGAAGGGAGCTAGTGATCCTAGGTACCATTGTTACTTCTAAGAGCTTGGAGTGATTCCGATGCGCCTCTGAATCTATGATGACAGAGCCTCTGCATGAAGTCGTCCAGCTTGCTCTTTCGAAAATCCAGCGAGCCTTCGTTTGATATATGGGACATGGATTTCTGCATTTCCTTTTTTTGTGCTTAATCGAAGCTAAGGGGATGGGTTGAGATTAGAAGAGCTTGACGGACATCCTGCTATTCGGACATCCATGAATGATGCCATGGCGCGGTTTCACCATCCCGACTTGTCCTAATCGGTGTATGTCATGGCATTTCTTTTGCTGGCGGAATCCGTTCGACACAGGATTACCTCATATTACGAACTGTCCTTGTCCGCTACTCAGATACGGCGTAATGGCCTGGCGTTGTTCACTTGCAAGACCTGGGGGGTTCGATTCCCCGTAACCTAATTTCCCTTCTTCGAAGTGCAGTTTCCTTTTCATGGTCGTGAGAAGTTTTGAGGCTGAAAGATGTGAAACCTTGTTTATCGTCCGTTTCCAGTACCTAGCCCTCCTATTGCGTCGGTCTGGTTGTTGGAAACACGGATCACAACATTATGCAGGGATATCAGGGTTTTTTTTCTTTCCCGGTGCTGTGTTTGGATACACCGAATCTGCTCTTTGACTGTGGACGGAGGTGGGTTTCCCTTACCTATCAGCTGTAATGACCATTGTTCGATAACAGACTTCACCAAGCCTCCGTGTCTCTCCTTTCGTGCTACATTAACAGTCTAGCCTGTTGAAGCTCATCGTTACCCTGAAAATTTTTGTCCGAGTAGGATGAATGCCAATATTCCCAGTTTTTGCGTACAGTCAGGGTTTTCGTCACTTACTTACTATCTTCCGCAGGAATTAATGGCGTAACGGCTAGCATCGTCTCACGAGGTGCAATTCCCTCAACGTGATCCATGCATTCCTCCCATATTTTTTGTTTTTTCAGTGCCGCGCGCGAGGTTTGGGGCCGTGAGTTTTCGTACTTTTTGTTGTCTAGCGCACGTGCGGCAGATCCAATTTCGAATTCAAACTCTGCCAGCCCGCCGATGTCGGATGTGCAGTTTCTCACTGATTGGGATTCGAATCAAGCTCTAGGGTCCATGGGGGGGAGGGGAGGTTCAATTCCCTTTTTGTCCGAACGATATTTGTAGCGAGGCACATACTTCTTCAGACACGTTCACGTCCTGCTCTAATTACAAGGGCGTCCTCACTAATTGGACATCCGTGCATAATATCCTCGACTTCGTCTCATATCGCACCAGTCCGGTGATACGTTAGCAACTTTATTCTGTCCCTGTCTATCTCAGGGGTCAGTGGTGTAATGGCAAGTGTTGTTCACCATGGGGGTTCGATTCCCTGTACCCAAACTACGGAGACAGGTGCTACCTTTTTGAGCTGCGCGACGTGTGCCCAGAGTTTTTCGCACTTTCGTTCCCTGGCTTGTAATTTCGAATTTTGATTTAAGGCTCACCGATTATGTGAGGACGGGTTTTCCAGAGATTGTGAGTACATCATTTACTCTTCAGCTTATGTAATGGCCTGCACCGAGTAGGAGATCAATTCCCTGTTATTCCTAAAACTGTTCTTTTCTTTTTCAAGTGTCCACTGCTCTAATTATGAGCAGCCTCCTCTTTCATGTGTGGATATCACATCTGCTGAGTTGGCTATTATATTCCCTGGCTCATATTTGAAGAAAGAGTAGATTAGCATGTTGTTTGAAACAAATACATTGATGTCTGAGTCTCAGTGACTTGCCCTTCCAATGACCTTTCATTATATTCAGATATAGCACAAGTGCTAGCATGTGCCTCAATGGTTCAAATCCTCATATCTATATCCCATGGTCATACAATGCTATTTTTATGGGTGCATCTCCTTGATGCCTGAATTAGAAGTAAATTGTGCTCCATCTAAGATCCTGTCATCAGAAAAAGATGTTACACTTGCTGAGGTGAAAATTCCAGTTGCAGGCATACAGCACAGGATTGGATGCAAGAGCTTAATGCTGGAGTAGCAGTCAATTCCTTGAAGAGAAATTGTCAGTCACCTCAGGAGTGTCTAACTATAATATGGTGCATAGAGATCACTTTTTAGGTACTATATCATCCTGTAATAATTCCAACTTGCTGTCTTGCTTTCTCTTCAACCCATACTTACTTATCTCCTCCATATTTGGATGTAGTGGAACAGCCAAGTATCATTTCCTCAGGGTTCAATTTCCTGTATTGGAACTGTCAATCTCCTGGTTCAGTATTTTTTTTTGGTTTTCCAGAGTGAAACACATATAAGTGGTTTGATTTTATATAATGTATCCACAGAAGATGGGATTATTTAGTTTATACCAAACTCCAGTCTCTAAGAAAGAATGAATACTGATTTTTCTGAAAATGTTAATTACTCAAGTTTCTTTATATATATATCAAATATTATAGCAGCTGTGCACCATGAGTAGAGAGGTTCAACTCTCTATATTTGAATACATATATAAACCTTTTTTCAAATTTTTCCATATGATCTTGCAGTGCATTAACACAATAAATAGAAACAGAATAAATTACTGTCTCACATAGTAGAATCTATCTCTAAATAGAGGCTATCATTCAAGTAGAACCATTATCTATACAAGTCTGTCTTTATTTGAATATAGTAAAATAGCAAGCTTTATCACTTTACCTTAAATAAATTTTCAATATATGAATCCATTGTTCAGCACTCAGTTAAAGAACCTTTTTCACTATTTATAACCTATTATTCATAAAGGCTGTCTCCATTATCTGATTTTATTCAGTTGAAATCTAACTGGATACATTCTAACTGTCAATGTTACCAGAACTTTGAGGTTTGATTCCTCACATCTCAGTTATATAGTGTGGAGTGCTCTTTTTATTTTTACAGTGGCACATGCTCATCTAAGAGTAAACAGTCACTAAGAATGAACAGCCATAGAACTTATCTCTACTAGAGAATAAATATCATTCATCCAGTGTATTCTATATGTAATATGCTAATGCTTTAGGACATTGCTGTTTTGACTCTTAGCTTTGTTGGCTACTATAATTCATATGTATGTGCTGAGCTCTGACATCATTAGAATTACTCTTTCTGAGATATATACAAATCAATCTTCCCAACTATTAATGTTCTTAGTCCTCATCATTGTATTCAAATATTGTGTTTGCTACAGATACTGGAGTTTTATTTTTCAAGTATTAGTCATCTTAATAAATAATCTTCAACATTCTTCAATCTAGTCTTCATAGACTTGGACTCATCCAGCATTATTGGCAGAGAGAAAAAATTAGGTTACACTATGCTATTTTACTCAGTGCTACTCTCAGCCACTAGTTAGTGGTTAGCATTCTTCACCTCACAGTTTGATTCTTTGTAACTAGTTTTTCACTAGCACAAGATGTGTTTCATCACTGTGTTATTGTCTCTCTCCAGTTTTAATTGCAAGTTTTATGCTCAAAATTGAAGCCAGAAAGCTAATATCATAATTCTAAAGCATAAGTGATAATAGATCCTCTGTATAAAGCTGTCCAGCTTACTCTTTAAGTGTGAATGAAGGAAATATAGAACAAGGATTTCTGCTTTTCTTTTTCATGCTTAATTGAAGCTAATTCAATGAATTGATATTAAAAGAGCTTGACAGATGTACTGCTCTTTGGACAACTATAAATGACACTATAGCATGCTTTCACTATTCTGACTTATTCTGGTCAGTGTGTATAATGGTATAATCTCTTACTGGTGTAATCTATTTAATACAGAATTATCTCATATTATAAACTGTTTACTTGTAAGGCCTCAGATTCAATTCTCCATATCTGTATTTCTCTTTTTTAAACTGCCATTCTTTTTCATGATGGTAAAAAGTTGCCAGACTAAAAGATATAAAGTTTTGTTTATCATTATAGATGACTACTATACTATATATAGCTATAGCTATACCCTATATCAGGCCTTGATAGTGCAGTTTAGTTTTATCCATGTTTTATATTGTATTTATACTATATCTCATATATGGACATGATAAGAGAGGAGAATAACCTAGTGCAGGTAAGTTTTAAGATTAAAACAACATATGTTATTAAGTTGATAGATTGCATATAAAAACAATAGGCATTCATACAAATTTACTCTATCCATATATTACTCATGGAAATAAATATAGTAGTGAAAATTAAAAAATGCTAATGAGATCAGATGAGCCTATATATATAGTACTCATATCCATCTTATATATGTGTATAAATCTTTCTTCAAATTTTCCTCTATTATCATATAGTGCATCAACACAATGAATAGAAACAAAACAAATTACTATATCATACAACAGAACACAATCTCAAATGAGGGCCACTACTCAAGTATGATTATTATCTATATAAGCCTGTCCTTCTTAATTGAATATATCACAACAGTGAGTCTTACCATCTTACTTGAGGTTCAATTCTTAGAGTACAAATCTATTATTCACTTACTCAGTAAAGAACCTGTTTTTTAGTATTTATAGCTAATGATTTATGTCAAATTTTAAGACTGTCCTCTTTTCTATTACTAGAATCTATTCTTTAAATAGTCAACCTATAACTGTATATAGTTAACCAGAAGTCTTAACAGTCAATCCCTCACATCTGGATGTTTCAATGCAGGGCTCTCCTCATATGTTCTGCAGCAGCACATATTCATTGCAAGATTGCTGAATGATGTACAGACATGAATTTATCTGTACAAGAGGATGAATGAGTGTCTCCAGTCTATTCCACAACTATATCCTTCATATAATAGCCTGACACTATTAACATTCTTAGTCCTCATTATTGCATTTAGATATGATATAACTATTACATTCACTTTCAACTTCATAGTTTGAGTTTCTATATTTGAATAAATAAGAGCTGTTAGAAAGTTTTTGTCTATTTTTCATGGACACCACTTGTAGAGATTCTCTTGTTGTTCCACTCATACTGCTAGCTAGAGAAAGAACCAGTGCATGTCATGCTATTTCATTCAGATTCATCCTTCAGTCTTTATCAGCAACTTTCCATCTGTTTCTATTGATCTTAAGGGTTACTGATACAATAGCTCATGTTATTCACTATTGAGTTCAATTACCTGTATATATACTACTGGATGAGACTTTTTTCTATCTTTATTTATATTTTA